CACACAGACACACACACAGACACAGACACACGCACATGCACACATGCACACACACACATGCACACACACACATGCACACACGCACAGGCACACACACACACACATGCACACACGCACATGCACACACACACACACATGCACAATTATTATTTAAAGCAGCTTCTTTTGTTGTTTTGTTAATAAAAATGGTCAGGACTTTGATATTAGGGTAAAACCTGATAGATCCACAGAGCAATGGAGAAAATGACCAGCGACCATTACTCTCCATGCTTCCACACTCTAGGGCCACGCATCTCCCTTGGCCCATCCTTATTCCTCTTGTGTGTCTGTCTATCTCCTCTGAGTCCACCAGAAAACTCTATCATCCACTCCAACCAGTGGAATGTAGACCCCACCCTCTGAACCAAGGCCAGACTCCATTGGTGGTCTTAGAGCAACAACACAAATCTCCTGCAACATTTTCCCCTTTTGCCTAAATAAAAAAAGAAAGGTTTTAACTCTAACATAGTAAAACTATGTACAATAAGAACAATTATCAGGTAAAAATTACAATGACCAGTTCATTTGTATTTGGCAAATATAGAGAAAATATTCCATTATCTATCCCCTCTTAGTGAGTCCAAACAAAAGTTTTGTACCTAACTGAATTTCTATTATAACTAAGGAAAACTATAACTATCTAGTCTTCAACCTCATCAGAGATCTGAGAAGGATATATTACCTGAGTAAACAGGAAGTGCAGAGAAAACAACTTCCAAAACTATAGAAATGACAGAGACATACGGCTGCCTGGACAGTCACCCAAGGTTCCTCTGCAACATTGGGGCATCCATCTTTGGCCTACAGGACTAGAATATCTGACAGACTTTTTGTGAAGCAGGAAATTTTGAAGGACTATCCTACCTTGGGTCTTGGCAAAATTCAGCCATTGCTTTCTTTTGTGTCTTGCTTGTCCAGTTTGAACAGTATAAAGTCAGCAGTTGAGGTAATGGCAGTTTCTTGCCCACTGGCTAACTTTGCCACAAAGAAAGCAAACTCCATATGGAGGTTCTTCACTGCCCATCATTTTTTTTTTTTAAAGTAAATTGGTGCTGCCAGGAGCATACATGCCTCACAGTCATGAAAAGCCTTATGTTATTAAAATATTTTAAATGCCATATTCTGTAGGCCTTTGAAGTGTTTGAAGACCATCTATTTATTTAAAATATATCTATTTGACCTTGAAAACATACCTAACACGACTATAAGTTTGATTGTTATAGATGACTAACTACTAACCTGTCATTATTATCCTAATAGCTTTCAAGGACTAGAACTTTACATTTTTAAATGAGCTGCACAGATATAATACTTTAAACAAGAGTAGAAACATATATACCATATATACACTATAACAAAAATTACCTTAAATTTGTCTCAATATACAAAAATCTATACCAATATAAAATATTTGAGACTAGTAGTTGCATTTTGAATTTAAAAATAGATTGAATAATCTACCCTTTTATCCTATCATTCCTATATCCCCTTTTTTCTTTTCAGAACAAGATCCCTGAATCTAATCCCCTTTGCTTAGTTTCCTCCCTGCCCATGACCAATAACAACTTGTCACCAGCCCCCCTATATGATGATAAAATCCATAACCCACCAAATGACCAGAAATCACCCACAATTTTGAGAATGTGTGTGTCACATTCTTAAAATTACTTCCAGTTGTCTGGGGGCAATGCCATTTTTAGGGGACCCTGAGGAAATTGAGATAATGGTCAAGTCCTGGGAGAGCTAGCTGTTGTCCAGTCTTGGTGTGATGGGAAAGTGCAGGTCTTATCTGAAGTCCTGGCTGGAGTAGTCTGTGAGGCTGGACCATCTCAACTAACCACCTTGAAATTGTCCCGAGCAGTTTGTAGTCCAAAGCTGATCTTTGTGTGGTGTTT